GTTTGTTTAAATAAAGTTTTTTTTAAAAGCGTCTTCGCTTCCTCTACGAAGCAGTTGTAAACTGAAATGTTTTAAGTAAATTTAGTAATTATTTCTTATAGAAACAAAAAAACCCCACAAAGATCCAATTGTAAAGTACATTTTAAAGAATAAGAACAGAAAATCGACCATTTAAATGTATTGATCGAAACTGCGTTGGTGTCACAGATGGAACCTTTTATATCTTGTAGCTGTTTCCATACGGACCGTAGACATTTCCAAAGATGGCAACCGGCACACGCGCTGTGTGGAAAGGTCAGTTCAATTTATAAATTTTTGTAATGGTATAAATCATTGTAACGCACAAAAAAAGAGTGCTCTGTCCGTCTTTATAATCCTTCACATAAAACCATAGTATGAGTTTTTATTCTTATAAACCACTCTCACTCTCTTTTTGTGCATAATGAGTTAGCCCACTGCTTTGTTATTTCAATAACAGTCTTGTTTTAAACATATTGCTGTGTTTTTACAGTTTTATCAAGATGTCAGCAGCATTTGCTCAGTGTCGCTGCTCCAGCCAACTCTGGAATCTCACAAAATGCATGGAGGAATGTGCCTGTAAGGACAGTTGCAGCTGTAAAGTGAGTTTAGGAATTGAGCAACATTTATCATCATTCAAGAAAGTTTTTATGCTTCTTTGTTGCTGTGGTTGCTATATTTAAGCCGTCAGGCCAACCTTTAACTTAATAATTTGACTAAAGGTTGTCATTAAATTACTTGTCTAATTTAGGCAGAGGAGGTGAGATATTGATTTATTTACTTTATGTGTGTGTTTATGTAGCACTTATGTTTATATTTATGTAACATCTTATCTGTCAACACTTTTGGCAGAACAAGAGCAAAGAAAGTAAGTAAAGAAGAAGCAGAAAAGGAGATAAAGAAGGAGAAGGTGATCAATGAAACAAAACGACATAAGCCTTATGGTAAGACTGCGCGGGAGCCTGTCGATGACGTGTATGTGATGAAACATTACACCAAGACCACGTATAATGCAACAGATGCTATTGAACTGCTGAAAAAGTTCCAGAAGCTGGATTTCACTTCTCACAGTCAGCCTGTGTATGTCAATCTGAAGCTGGACATGAAATTGGAGAAAAAGGTAAAAATTCCAATAACCCTTTATTAACTTTACTTTACTTTTAAGCTAAGAAACAACCACAACAAATAAACAATCTTTATTTTAATTCAATAAATTAAAAAAAATAGTCTTTTGCCCATAGTCTGCCTCATGGCTTCCTTGGTCTGTCCTTTACAGTTAGTCAGATTTGAAAGACCAACAAAAAAGCTTTTGCAGTTATTGGCTGTGGGTGAGATTCACCATAGATTGTTCATCAGTCCGTTGCAGGGACACATTTATAGACTAATAACCCCTCATGCTTATACCTATAGTCAAATTGGAGTTGGCCCATATTATTTAGTAATACACAATTATATGGTTCTGTGTTGGAGTTTGTACTTAAGTGGCATAGTAAGTCAATAGTACTTTTTCTAAGACCTGTTGTTTAGTCTTGCCATTGTCATAACTTTAATAAAATAACTATTTTTTTTTTTTTTTTTACCTTTTCAGAGAAAAGTGGACGCGTTCGTTGCCACCCTACAATTGCCATTTCCTTTCAAGACTGATTTAAACAAAATTTTGGTCTTTACTGAGGTAATAATACTCTATCTTCAGCTTTACTGAAATTTCATGCTGATATTTTAAACCTGAGAAGAGAAATCAGATGGTCTGTAGCAGTTTCACATCAATCACTCTGCTGCACTGCAGCAAACCTTCCACCACACACTGAGCTGGACTCCATTAATATTACTGTGGAACAGCACATAGTAACACTTTTAAGTGTGATGGAGAACACCATGGGCTCTTACAGACCCCGACATGCTCACATGACATTTACATTACCAACTGAGCTGTTTTTTTCTTTCTTACAGGATCCTAATCAAATGAAAGAGGCTCTGGAAAATGGAGCGTCGATGGCTGGAGGAGCAGAGCTCATTCAGCAGGTAGATCATGCAGATAGACACAGTGTCAACATGTGTCATTATGAAGGCATTGTGGTGTATTAAACATCATTGTATTTTTCCCCCTTACATGTGTGCAGCACTGACTGATAAAATCAGCTTTAGACATTAATCTCATAGAAATTTCTCACAGGAAATAAAGTTTTTAAATATTACATTCCCTCACACCAATGTCCACAGAGAAAATCATCTATTTAAGTGCCACTAGACACAGAAGCTGTTGGTCTACTGCTGCCTCCTAAAAATTAAGACAATGAATACATACATATACATATACATACACTAAGTCATAGTGGTAGCAGTGAAGGGAAAACTGATTTTAGTTTTTTGGACTTTGATTACGGAGAATGGATGATTTTCAAATGTTGCTTTTTGAGGTATGCATGCCAACTTAACTTTCTCACCCTACTGGGGTTTAATCTAATATTTTTTATCTTTCAGATTATTGACGATGAGATTTCAGCAGACTTTTACCTGGCAGTTCCTGCTGTTGTGCCAAAGATTATGGCTTTGAAAAGCAAACTGAGAAAGAAATTTCCAAAAAGCAATAGAGGTGAGTTGAAAATCTATACTAGAACTAAAACTTAGGGAAGTCCCCTTGGGCAGTGCTTCTAAACGTAGGGCTCAATCCTTAGAGGGAGTCGGTGGAATATCAAAAATAATTAATACAGTTTTTTCTGTTTTTTTTTTTACATAAAGTTATTTATGTTAAAATAATTTAAATGTTTATAGTTAGTTATAAAAGCACATAAGTGTTACCTGTTATAAATGGTCTTCACCTCTTTCCGAACGTTAGTATCGCAACCACAAATGGGGTCACCTGAAATGTTTTTTAAACTAATTATTATTCTTTTTAAAATAATGATTTAAGACACCACAAACAATCTTAACCAACAGTATTCTTTCACTTTAATGAATATAAATTGTGTTCAAATAAAATGCAGCATATAAAAATATCTTAGCTAGTGAATTTTGATTGATGGCTGCACAAGTGACAGCTACTAAAATGTCTGTTGAGTTGCCAGAAAATTGTGATGTCACATTGGGTCACAAGCCACAAGAATTTTGAGAACCACTGAAAGCCCTTATACTATATTTGTGGACATGTCCAACTCCAGAGCATTTGAAAAGATGTGTATTCAGGGTTCAGGATTTTTTAAAGCAGTTTTTCTAATGTTAAGCTTTTGATTTAAAACCAAATGCTAAAAATATTTGAAAAAATACATTTCAAGGGCTTTATTCTCAAGATTTGAATATGTCTGGATTACTGGTGAAGTTAATCAATGAAAATATGTTTAAAAATGTATTCATCTGTCAATTCATAAGGTAAAGTGTTTTTTTTAAGTGTAAAAGTAGTTATATTTTCTTTCTTATGTTTGGCTCTCAGGAACGGTCGGCGACAACATCATCTCCATGTTGGACATGTATAAAACAGGTTTCCAGTACAAGGTGGAGAACCAGTGTTACATCAACACTCAGATTGCCACAGTATGTTAGAAATTTTGAAAATTTTGAATTTTGAAAAGAAATGTTTGTTCAGATATAAGTGTTTTATCATTATTGTCTTCTCAGCTGGACATGCCCACAGAACACATCTTCACTAACCTGCAGACAATCCTCATTGACGTCTGTTCACGTAAACCTGCCGAAATGGGTACGTCTAGGAGGAAGCTGCCCTCCAAAACTAGAACTGCACTGGTGATATTGATTCTTTTTTTCCTGGCTAACTTAGATTGCGAGATTTATAAGTGAGCACTACTTAAAAGAGGGGTTTAGTGAATTTTGTGTCTGCAACTGAAACAAAAAAATGCTGTTAATCAAAATCAAATGAAAAAGTTTAAGTAATAATAGCACTATCTTACTAATTAGATAAAACAGCCATGCCGTGTGTCGTGTTGCAAAACAATTTGAAAAAGCTCAACGTTCAGATAAAAATTATAAAGTTGAAGTTATAGATTCAACCCTCTATGATAATGACACTTATTGGATAAGAATATATTGTCCAGTGACCTGATTTTGTTACTGGTGACATCATCAACCTCTTTCTGTCCTCAGGACCCTTCATTGAGCGAGCGATCATCGGCAGTCAAACCAGTGAAGCGCTGTGGTTCAAGAGTGAAGATGTTTTGCCAAAAGATGAAGAAAAGAAAGAGGAGGAGCAATGAACAGGAACCTCACTGTTGATTCATGTAAATATTACTGTCAGTGCCCTAAATAAAACAGCTTGTTGTAGTGAAATTGTGATTTACTGTGGTTATTAAAGAGACCAGAGGGATGAGGAGCTGACATAAAGACCAGATCTATCATTTCTTTGTGTGGTAATTAACTTTATTAATTTATTATTAACATTATTCAGTATTAACTTTATTACATTTTTTTAATGAAATTAAAAAGCTGTTTTCCTAGTTCTCAGGGCGATATAATAAATGGACTTCAAACTTAAAAATGTTGTTGTTCTCAGTGTGGGCAGCAGGTGTCACTGTTTACTGAGCTGATCTTTGTACTGTAGATGGTCATGACGGTCGTTTCGTTTGGCAAAATTGGCGACGAAGCCCAGATTTCCAGATAATCTAGTTTCTGGACTGAATGTGTGGGTCTTAGGTTGTGTTAAGATATGCTCTAGTGTTTCTCTGCAGCAGGAGATTGAGATGATCTTTTATTATTAAAAAGTGGAATAAGTATCTATGTATGCAGACGAAATACAAAGAGTTAGAACTCTTTTTTTTTTATCCCTCGGGAGTTCCCTTCGGCAAATTAATGCTGCAGCAATAGAACAACACGCAGAAGCCGCTGAAAGAATAAAAGTAGAACAATACAAAACAATGAATAGCAGCACACCATCAAAAGAAAAGAACACTTGAAGCAGTGGGTAGGTTCATAGTGTCATCATGTGTATTGTTATTATTCAAGTTCTATGCATATACTACAGTATAGCACATTTTCTCTATAGTATTTGACGGCTGTTCATATACATTTATGTACATGTATAAATTAAGATATATAGACATTTAAAATAAAAATATATGAACAATTACAGCAAGAGATAATAGCAATATAAAATAAATAATATATAATATATATAAACTATAAAATGTATTATATGTATAACTATATATAATGTAAGACAGATAGACAGACAGATAGATGTATTTGTATGTATATTTATATGCTAGTATAGTCTGAATACCGTCTATATGTATATACAGTAATGTACACATACACACACATACGGTTAGTGCACGGTTATTATAGAGGGCTCAGTACATTCTCACTTCCCTCACTCCTCGCCCCCTCCGACCCCCTTCCCATCATGAAGTGTTGAACAGTGTAATTGCCTGGTGGAGTCTTTGAGTCTGTTGGTCCTGCTGTTTAGAAAGAGCAGCCTGTCACTGAGCAGGCTGCTCTGATTACTAATGACAGCAGTAGGCCAACATAGAAGATGTTGGCCTACTGCTGCCTTCTGTGGTTAGCTTGTGTCACCTGAATCAACGCTGTATGAACTAGATTTAAGGCACACAAAACAAAACCCTGTATAACAGTTGTGCTCTGTCCCTTAATTGTGTCTCTCTGGTCTTTGTCTGAGGATCGTCTGGAACAGACAATCTATACAGTAGGTGGCCTTGGTGTCACAACTGAGGTGAGACACAAAACCTGGTGAGAACATGGCCAGCAGCAGCAGTAGAGAAGACAAAGTTCTACGCTCACAGAGACAACAGTTGTTAAGTCACTGCCGCCTTCATCATATCATCAGTTCAAGTGTGTTACTCTGTGACTGAACCTTTTGAAATCTTGTTCAGATTTACCTGAGTGACATAAAATGATCACTAGAGGAAAGTGAAAGTGAACTCCTTGTCATCGTGACACAGCTCACCACTGCACTCACAACCAAATGTGACCTCTGCTTTTAACCCATCACCAAAGTGAACAGTGGTCAGCTTTAAGGTGAGCAGTGAGTGGGGACGGTGTCATGCTCAGAGCACCTCAGTGGTAACATGGCAGCTGGTGGACTAGAACCTGAAGCCTCCCAGACCCAAGTCCGTTTCCTTAACCACTAAGCCACCACTGCCCCCAAAATTGAGGCATGCTTCATGATTTTTTTGCAAGGCAGCAGCGAACAGCAGTGACAGTTTCCTCTTGGAGAAATGGCGTCCACAAAGAGACAGGTCGAATCAACCTCCCATCAAACAAGGACAGACTCAGTGTTAACATATGCAGGCATGTTTGAGAGACTAGGCTCTATATCCTTTTTTTTTTTGTTTGTTGCTGATAATCTGCTGCTGTCTCTTCAATGGGTCATGGGTAAAAATAACCATAGCAGCAGAAATGAATGCGGTTAAAAAAAAAACCTGGTTCTGATCCCAGGTCCTGGCAGAGGACAAAAGGAGCATAGATAGAACAGATCAGGTTTCTGCCATGTGATGCTGAGGAATCTCAGTCTGTGATGTTTTCTTTTTTTTCTTCTTTTTTTTTTACTCTAAAGTAGCATCAAACACACAGATAACCCAAACATAGAAAAAGAAACGCAGCTAGAGAGACAGCAGAACTCATAACATACATCTGTCTGAACAATGTCCACTGATTTTAGATCTGAAAAACCAACTCAAGAACAGTTAAAATGGTATTGTAATGCAAAGCGGCATTTATGCACAGAATAAAAAAATATGTTGTTTCCTGTAGAAACATACAGTAAAGGAACTAATGAAAAAAAAGTTACTTTAAGTCAAAACAGCACTGATTTAATGATGCTAAGCAAAAATAGGTAAAAAGACAAAAAAAAGAATGAATAGAAGAAAGAAATAACATTGTAAAGGAGTATTGGACGAAATGACAGAGAGAAAAAAAGACAGAGGCGAACTGTGATGTAAAGGAAATGGAAAAACATATGAAATAAAATGACAAAAGACCAAACAGAATAAAAAAAGTAGAAATGATGAAAGGACCACAAGGATAAAATGGGAAAATGGTAAAAAAAAAAAACCACGAAGACCCAAGTGATAAATGTCAGCCTTTATGTTTACTTTGGTAAAATGTTGTTTAGTTCAGACTTTTTAGTTTCCAAAAGTCATCTAACAGGCTTTTATATCATAAAAAAGAGGAAGCAGTTTGTTTCTGTGGTTTGTGTCTACAGAATTCCAGGATATTCTACCTTTGAAAATTGCTCTTGGAATTGCTTCACCTTGGTTTGGTGTGTGTGTGAACAATTATTTATTATTTAATATTTATCAGAAATCATCATCTGTTAAGACTATAATTAGAATCGTATTGTGATTAAACATGTTTTAACCTTGAAACGATCCAAATTAAATCAATAAATATCTTTTACCCACTCTACCGCAACGTAAGTGACGGTAAAAAGTTAACCGGAGCAGTGGGAGGAGTCAGATTTTCTTCTGTGGGAGGGGTTTAATTGACAGTGGGCGGAGTCTAGTAGTCGTCCAGTACCAGAGATGGATCCTGGTTGTGGTGCTCAGTGGAATGATAGGAGTTGAATCAGAGTAAAAACCCCGCAGTCGCAGTTCAACCAGGAGTCTGGGATTAGTTCCTCGCTGCAGTAGCCGCAGGAGGAAAGTTCTGTCAAGACAGACTGAGATTCACTTTTCAGTGTAATCCGCGGCAGCTGCGGCAGCAACTCTCCCACTGGAGGGTCTTCTCCTCCTGGTTCTATAAAGAACCGCGCGGCTTCCTCAGGCTGCAGCACAGCGCTCAATAGCCGGCGTCGCTGCTGCGCATCTGACTCCCCGCTGGTGCTCTGGAGGATTCTTGATCTGGTTCCGAGCCTGGACGTGAATCAGTTCTGATTGCCATAAGATGCGCATCGAGTAATGTGACTGTCTGTCAACAGCGAGTTTAGACACTTAGTTAGTTTTAGTTGGTTTGTGGCTGTGGATTAAAGCTGCGGTAGGTAAGAGCATGGCCGCAGGTGGAGGCTGGAGGATTTCTGCTGCTCTCACCCTGGTTCTCTGCTGCTGCACTCTGAGGATTCAAGGTGAGATCGACTTCGAGTTTGCGTTTAACCCTGATGATTTGGGTTATCTCAGTTTAACTCTAGTTTTCTGTAGCTGAGAGGCGCCTGAGTCAGACTCTGATTTCATCCTTTCGAAGAAGTTTTTTTTGTCTGTAAACTTACAAGTTTTTACGTTAACACGAACACATTTAGTTTGAACATATAAATCCTAATATATGTGGAAGAGGGTTTGGAAAGTAGACACAGATTATGGGCTGTGAAATAAAAAAAGACCAAAACGTTTTTCACAGAATTTTAATTCTTTAATGTGACCAAAAATTTTATTGAACCGTTTTACAAAGAAAACATTAAGTTCCCGTTAATGCAGTCACCTTCTAGTACATGACATGTGGCTGTTTAATTTTAACCAAGCAGTGCCAAACACTCGCTGGTTTAAATACAGTGACTGAGGAGGATTTCTTCATACTGACCAGGTGATGTCCTGTGACTACAGAAAGTTCCTAAGGTTTTAAATGGATCTAAAATTTCTGAACCAGGTATGGGTTCAGAAGAAGGTTTAGAATCTGTCTTTGGAACATCTCTGTGACATCACATAGAAGATGGAAAAAGACTAGAACGACGCATGAGGTAACATTTAAAAACTATAGTACTTTCCATTAGCTGTAGGTCTGTCAGTGACAGCACTAGGCTTTGGGTCTGTTTCTTGAATTAGATCTGGGGCTTCAGTAGGTGGAGAGTACACATAGAACCACCAAGTGTCTCATTAAAAGCTGGAGGTGAAGAAGACGAAGTTGATATTTCATTATTGATTTGGAGGCTTCTGTGCGGTGTAGACGTGTGGTGTTGAGAGGCTCTTCTCAAAAATAGGATAAAATCAACTGCACGTCGAATAATTTTTATCTTCATGTCAAAGATTATGGTTTGTTTACAGCTGAAATGTGCGCACGATTGGTCTCTTTAAAGATGGAAAAGTCATTGATTAAGAATGTACAGAACCATATTATTTCTTCTTTCTCAGAAACAAAATGAGGATCTTCAGTTCTTACAGTCTGCTCTGTCTTTGCTGCACACCAGAAAGCACTGAAATGCGCTTTTCATTCCTCAAAAATGAAGATGCAACAGAATATCTTTGTAGCGTTTGATCTGTAAATCACCAAATCAGTTCACTGAGTGAGTGATAGTCAGTAAAGCTGTGATAAAGTCAGCGCCTCAGAAGTAAAGTCTTTCGACTTAGAACCTTCTGTGCTTCTGACACACTTCAAAACAACACACTGGAGAAACAAAGTAGCCTCAGTCGACCTGATCCACATCTTTCTCAAACATCTCAACACATTGCATCAATTGATTGTGCTCACGTCCTTTGCTGCGTTTAAATTTTCATCAGCTTATCTATGCGATATGCGAGATTCACAAGGTGCTTCCTCTCAGCTGCGTTTTGGATACAGGAGGGGACGTAGAGAAGAGAGAGTTTTTCTTCAGCAGCATCAGATAAAGACGACGGGAACCAAACAGCAGGAAAAAAAACGATTTTAGCCACGTGACAAAAGACTTATCTGATTAAAATCTATACACACCTCACTATCTGCTCGCTGCTTTATCACACTCACTGTTAGACCGGCTTTTTTAACGAAAACCAAAGTTTGTAAACATTCAGTCTCCCACACCAAGGTTCACAGGGAAAATCAGTGATTTAACCTCGAATATACAGAAGACCTCTGTCATTTTGTGAATAAAGTCTTTTTCAGATTTAACCGATGGACACAAGTTAACCACAGAAGGCAGCAGTAAACACAGCTTTTAGGTTGTTCATAAACTGTCATAAACTAGTGAAAAGTCACTTTTTAGATGAGAGGGAAAGATTTGTCACATTTGAACTCCTTTGATATTATATATGTGGGCCATCTTTAGGTGTCCACCTCTGTTGTCTGGATCAAATTAAAGATCATTGTGCAGCATCATTGCCATAAGTGGCTCAAATCCACATGCTTACTTTGAACAGTTCCAAATGGTTCTGTTTAAAGAACACAGTGACTTTTAGGGCAGTGTGGTCAATTGCAGCAAACAACATGGGCTACTTGTCAAGATCCCATACCTGGGAGCTTGGCTCCCCTGTAATTCTAACCCTGAAATGATTACAAATGCTAACTTTTTTATAATTTCTGTGTCCTTCTGTAGGAGCCTGTGTCCACCAGGGAGCACCGTATGCAGTGAGTAGTCCCTGTTTTTTTAATGTGGTCCATTATTGTGAGATGGCAGAAATTGAGTCTCTTCACTTGTGTGTGGTTGGGGGGAAGGGAGGGAGCAGGGGAAGGGAGTGGGGCTTGTAGGAAACATGTTTGCTGCTGTTTTTGTCTATGTCAGTGGTTCTCAAACTTTTTCTACTCTGTACCACCTGAGAAAACATTGATCTCTCTGAGTATCACCATGATGACCAACAATAGAATATAGCAGCATAGACCTTCACTGTTAGCTTCCACCACACAGGAGAGAGGTTTAGAAAGATGTTTATGTTTAAATGTTGTATTAATTGTGCATGGTATGATTCAGATTTATTCAATAAAACATGTAAATGTGAAAATATTAATTTTCTCCACGTACCACTAGAGAGCACTCAGTGGTACACGTACCACAGTTTGAGAACCACTGTTCTAAGAAGTACATAATGTTGGTTATTAGATAAAGTAATATTAATTATCAGTCTGATAATGATACTAATGGTGAATATAGCAGTGGTGCTTGTTATTGTTATGTTGTTGTTGATGATGATGATGATCATGTTGAAGATGATGACAGTGGCTGCTCAGATTAGGTTTTACTCTCAGTGAGAGTGTGTTCTCCACAACAGGTTTTGTGCATGTTCTTCATCTGTCAAAGTTCTTCTCTGTCCAGGGCTGGACTTAAATTAATGTGGATTTTTAATCCAGGATTTGAAGCTCTGTTTGGTGTGATCAGTGTTCATTATACTGCAGTCTACAGTTTGTAACAGCTATAGACAATATAACACAATAGTGCAGTCAACCGAGGGTGACTGCAGTCAACAATGTGGAACTAACTCTCAGTGACAAGACCGTGAGACTGGGTTCTTGATCATTTGAGATTTTAGTTCTATCTTCTCTGGTTTTTCACAGATTGTAATTTTTCATTGATCATTTTTGATTCTCTTAAATGATTATTTGTCATGGTCTCAGGTTTTAAAACAATATTAGATTTTGTTTGCCTTTTTTTTTAACCATGGCAAAAATGTTTATAATGATGTTTCAGAGGTTCCCAAAACTTTGAGATTACACAGTATTACAGTTTCACATGTTTTTTATTTTCCTGGTGGTGGACAAAAAAACTCCCGATACTCCTCAGTGTTCTTCAGGCTGGAGGTGGTCCTGCAGTAAAATGGCAGAACACTTTAGAAAAACAGCAGCTGTCTCTAAGGACAACTGTTAATCTGCGTTAAAATGTCTTAAAAAGGGTCTGAATGGTGGGAGGAGCTGCTGTTCTCACAGACAGCAGAGAAAATCTTCTGCTGTGTCATCAACCTAATTACAGTCCAGGCTTTCAGGAGGATGAGTGGGAACATACCTGATGTCCTGTAAAAACACACGCAGGAGCTAACTTCCTGTATACCCTCGCTGTTGTTCCTCCACTGAACATCATAATCAGAGAGAGGAGCTGTTTTCAGGAGGGGGAGGGGTAGACACTCAGTGAGTGAGTGAGTGAGTAGGGGATTGTGGGAAAAAGGAGATGAAGCAGAGACAGGTGGGACGTCCTGACATGTTAGGACACAATCTAAGGGGAGAAAAAGAGTCCTTGTGGAGTTCAAAGTGAAGAAGCTGCTCCAACACCTGGATTGTTGAAACATAAAGGAGAAAAACTGTGTTACAGTGTAAAGAGGTGCACAGGAAATTTTTTTTTTTTTTGTCACAGTTTGATTTATTTGATTCAATTTGGTATCAGGGTTAAACTATGTTGATTCAGTTCATTTATCACAGCCCACAACAGCACAAAAATGTTTAATTTTATTAATTTAGTTTGTGATTAAGTTTTAATCAGAGCAACAGAATGGTCTGGTTTTGAACTGTAGAAATCAGTTACAGCCAAAAAGTAAATAGGCTTTCCCTATGTTATAATTGAGAAAGTAATGTTATGTTCAGTATATAATCAGAGTAATTACACTTTATCTATATAGATATAAGATATATGTGTATCTTTTACTCTCATTTATTTTATCCTTTTCCACTTTTTAATTAATCATTGATAGCTGAGATTACATTTATGATGACAAAAAAGTTAGAAATAATTATATTGATCTAGGTGAATAATTAAAAAATAATGCTAGCATCCTCTAAATAAACCAAGTGATTGTACATTCTTTTCAAGATGAAGTAATTAAAGATCTTTGTCCATCTGCTGCTCATATTTCTTTTAGACTCTCATACAATACTGACCAGTGGGAGGTTATTCAATATTTGGCATTAAAACCTAATAAATGTGATAATCTGCAGCTTTTTTTAACCTGAGTGTGAAAAGGAACTGGGCTGCAGCTGGGTGAACGCACACACACACACGCACACACACACAAACACGGAGAGTCAATGGGCAGGAACACTTAGCACGTGAATGTTTTCGCTAATGTTACTGACTGACCTGCTCTGTCAACACAGATGAAAATAAAACCTTAAAAAACAAAAATCAGCATCAGTGATGAATAAACAGATGGAATATACTGTCATTTTGCTCTGCTGTTTGACTTTTCTCAGAAATGAAACGTTTTGTGATATCACATCAAACCTGGGTTATCAAATTCATTCAAACAAAATCTGTGCAATTCAGTCGACAAAAGCTTTTGGTCCTCTGCTGCCCCGTGTGGTCCGTGTGTCACATTGATTGAAGAATTTCAAACACTAAAAAATAAATGGTTGGTGGAGGCTGCCTTCTATCAACAATTGCTGTGTCTGTGTCCAGGTGATACTGCTGATTTTCTCTATGAATGAGTGGCTACAAAACTATGGTTCACCTCACTCTAAGCAGCCTACTATGCTATATTCCATTTTTTGACATAATCTCACATGTTTTTCTCTAGTGATCTTGACATGTGACATCACTGTTAACTCCTGACATCATGGCTGACACACCTTTGTTTTGATCTTTTTTTCTCTCAACATGTCCACCAGTTTAAATTCATACACACACTCTCAGGCCAGAGCAGTAATCTCAGGAATTCCAGCCCAGAGGGGCAGCTGATATATTTGGACATGGAGCTGCATGTCGCCCAAACTGTGCCGCCCTTCCTGCTCTGTGGGCTACATGACATATTTCAATAGTAGAATAGTCAGCCTGATGTTTAAATAATGATAACTATTAACAGACTGGTGGGAAAAAAACAGACCTGCTTGAAATCATGGGTCTTTATCGTCAATTTATCCCCCACTTAGTCATTGGTTTCAAACCTGCATCAAGGTTTTTGCCCCTATTGAATATAATAAGCAAAAAGTCCAACAAATAAATAACAATGCAAATAAACACTATTAATATTTATTCATTTTAATTTAATTTATTTTGATTTTATTATGTCCCTATTGTCATTTTGCTGTAGTTGTTAAACCACAGTTCCACAGTCCATGTTTTCTTTTTTCTTCTTGCTCTTTCTGAACTATATGTGATCTTGACCCATTCTGACCCTGAACTCAACAAAACAAACAAGAGTAAACACAGACTTCAAATCCATTGTTGATATATGATCCAGCAGGAGGCGACTCTTCAAAATGTAAGATACCTATTGGTAAAACCATCTCTGTTCTCAGTCGCTAATTTCAGGTCTTGAACTTGATTTTAATTTTTTTTTTAATTATCCCATTTAGGGGAATCATAAACAATAACAATGATTCACCAGAGCTGTGTTTGAAGGGGACAAGTCAGGTTTCTATTGATCAGTCATTCTTATCCCATGCAATAAATAGCAATAAATTAGTCACTGATAGGTTAACAAACTAACCAACTAGCCAACTAACTAACTCACTCACATTTGTTTTTTCTGCTGCGCATGAACAAAGTTGTGGAATCTGTGTGATGCAGTTTTGAATCTTCAAACTCACCGTTTAGATGAGGCGAAGGAGACTGAGCTTTTCTTCTCCTTCTGACCTGCTGCCAGGAATATTGAAGACTTTTGCTGGATCGATCCTGGATCCAGGCCTTAAAACCTGGCTCTTCCTGTTCATCATTTTCCTCCTCCTCTTCAGAGTCATGTAAAGTTCTTTGTCCTGTGTGTGCCGGCAGAGTGGTGGCGCTGTTGTCCAGCACACAAAGGACTAGATGAGTGAGTGCTCAGGACTAACAACTCTGAATTATTGAGCAGCCGCAGGCTGTGAAGAAGCTTTTAACGCTAAACATCTTCTCACATCTTCAATCTCTTTGTCTGTTCTTTTAACGGAACAGAAGCAGTTTTGGTGCCAGAACCATCTTCTCAGGTCAGAAGGTCAGACACAATGAGAAGTTTGTGGCACACTAAGACACACTTCTTAGTCTTTAAACATTCATGTTATATGATGTTGTTGTGCTTTTTAAAAGTGAGATTCCAAAATGTCCTTCTCTTCTTTTTTAACTTAGTTTATACTATGGAAACTTCATAAAATGTAGTATTTTGACATAATTATTCATTTAATGTTTGTATCTGCTGATAGAATAACATCATTTACATGAACATAGGTTTTTTATAGCACGGGAGACTAAAATTTAGCTCCATGTTAATTTCAGTGAAGATACACAGACGACAGATGTATAAGAAGGAAGTGCAGAGTGATAAGTTGCACATAGTGTTGGGTTTATTAAAGTCATTAATCAGCTTTGAAGAACTAATTTTTCTGCTGTCTCTTTAATATCGGACTTCAGACTCTCAGGACTTTGTCTGAATCCTCACTGCTCTGGTTTGGAGCTTCATGCTTCCTGGACTGGAACTAAGCTGCAGCTTTTTATTGCGCACCCACCCACACACACACACACACACACACACACCAGGGCTGTGGAGCAAAACACTCAGCCAACCCACTAATGGGGTAACAAACCAACTGGCTCCTCCCCTGTCCACCTGGCACCCTATCGGCTGAGGTCTTTGAACTTTGGTTGTTAGAGGTCAGAGAGGTCTTTGGACTTTTGTCAATCATTTCCTGTCTCTCTATTCACTCTGTGATCTGTTAACACTGTGGGTGTTCCTGTCGCT